GACTCCAGACGTGCTCGTGGGACTTCCGCACCCAGTGCACGGAGATGCCCTGTGGACACAACAGTCACAAGGTTGCGGCCGTCCTGGTGATGCCATATACTCTAGTTACCGGCTATTCCAAGAGCCCCGAGAACTGGGCAAGGAGCTGACCAAACAGTGGGCCAAATACCGATACGGAGTGTTCGATGAGGTCGGATACGCCGGCGACGCGGTCTACCCGTCATGTTACGCGTCTGAAACGTCTCCGGCCGAGGTCAACGGATGTTCTGACAAACCCATTTCCCAGACCAGGTGCGTGTGCAGCGATTGTTGTGTACAATATTATGGCTGCGATCGACGGTGTTTTTTTTTTTTACAAGACTAACTTTTCTTCTTTTATTTTTTTACAGAGCTTGTGATTCCATCAACACGACAGCATTGGTCCACCCGGAAGCAAAAACTTCACTCATGTTTTCCACAGCATCTCAAGTAACCAAGTTCTGCGACGCTTCCAGTCACGACCGTTACGCGCCTACCAAACAAAATGCACTTTGTGGAAGGCGGAGTATCATGGAAGTCATAAACACTCATCCGGACTTTACCAAAGGGTAAGTGATCGTTGCGCGTGTAAACCACAGTATTTCAATAAACGCATATATAATATATATATAATTATTATTTTATTTATTATATTATATATATATTTTGATTTCGGACGTTTAATTTATTTTTATTGTCGTGTTTAGTGTGAACTTGTCGGGAAATCAAAATCTGACGCCGACGTTCATCTTCAAAAAAGAAATGCTCACCAGATACGTAGTGGTCATCGAAGACACGAAAGATATGATGGAAAGGGTATGTACCACAAACATTTTTGCCTGTAAATCCTCGGACGATCTTCTCGATCGATTATTGATAATAACGTAATATTATTATTTTAATATTGGATTAATAATTATTATTTTCATCATGCAGGAATCTTGGAGCTTTTTACGATTGGCTATTCGTAAATGGGCCGTACACGATCTTCCAGCCAACACTGAAGTTGGCCTAGTTTCGGCCAACGATTCTTCAGCCAACCGTTTACACGGACTAAGCAGATTACAAACACCGGAAGCAAGAGACCAAGTGGCGTCGAATATCCCATACTCTACTGGTGACTCGAGGCAGCCGGCGTGTTTAGCCTGCGCATTGAAGGAAGCTATACAGGTAATTAATCATGCCAATGCGATCTTTCGCAGGACTAAATCGCCAAAAACAAAATATATTTATTTGTCTGTTGTATTTTATCTTTGCAGATGTTGGAAACTCGTGCTAGCAATAGTGGTCCCGCCAGTTCGGTCATCGTAGTGATTGCCCCTGGAACTTTGGCATCATACACGCCGGACTTGGCTAAACAAGTGTCCGAGGCCAAAGATAAAAACATACGTTTGGCAACCGTCACGTACCCGATGCTCAACAGGCTCAAATCCCTGGACTGGATGGCCGACAAGACCGGTGGTGTTTCGTTCACGGTCACCGAAAACCGGTACAACATGGCCACGTCGTACTTGTCCACTTACTTCAAGTTGACAAACGTTATGCGTAATATAATGGAAACGTACTACCAAGGAAACAAAGGCGATTTGCCAGTGGAAATTCACAGGCGTGAACTGACCGACGATGGGCGGACTGTGGTAACCGGTAGCTTCGTTTTGGAGGACCACATGGGCGAACCGGCAAAGTTCACCGTTTACACACACAATACGGAAAATCCACTGATCAGAGCCATTACTCTGACCAGCCCATCGCAACGGGTCTACTCGACTCGATCCGATTCACTGTTATCGCTTAAAATGCTCAGTGTGCCGGCCGCCATAAACGAGGTGAATATTATTACATGTTTATGTTTATTATTATATATTATCATGGCGTTTTTTGTCGATGTTGATGTTGTTATTTTTTTTATGTTTTATTTCAATGTTAACCGAGTGTGTATTTTTCGTTTTACAGACCGGAACGTGGACATACCACATCGAACGGTTCCAAGGAAGTCCGCAACCGCATTACGTGCAAGTGATGGCCAAACCGCTATCGAAAAATTCTCCTGTGGTCAGAGCTAGGGCTTGGACAAGTGGAACGACCAATCCATTGACGATTTACGCCGAAGTCAAACGCGGCGACTATCCAGTACTGGGTGCCAAGGTTGAAGTGTCGGTCATCCGACCAGGTTTAAACGGTTCGAACGCACATCGTGAAAAGTTTGATCTCTTGGACACAGGAAGTGGAGGTCAGTACAATTTGTATAATTACCTAGTGTTTTCTAAAATAACGATAATCCGTTGTCAAAGAAAACATTGTTCTTCGAAACTCCAAACATTTTTTTATTTAATTTTACTGGTTTTATACAGATCCGGATCTCATGAAAGGCGATGGAATTTATTCAAGATATTTCAACCCGATGATTGGTGGACTTGGAGTTTATACTTTTGAAATCACAGTTTCGGACAGCAGTAGCAATGCGTACACTTGGCAACACAGCTCCCACAGGAACATAGAACGAAATCCAGTAAATTCCGGTTAGTATTATAGAACTTCAATAATTTAACTTTATAAATTCATATGACATTACTTAACGTCACATTATTGTATTTATAGAATCGAACTGCTGTGGATCGTTCATGACATCTCCGTCAGTGGAACAACTGAATCCGTTTCAACGGATTATCACCCCGCTGTCCGTCACATACACCGCTGAAGATCTGTCGTCATCATCGGCGAATGTGGGCCGAGTGGGCGACCTGAAAGCCGAGATTGTCAAGTCTGAGTTGAAAGCCCGACTTACGTGGACGTCTCCGGATATGGGTGGAAACTCTGTAGCTCGGTATGAAATCCGGTATTCGCAGTCACTTCGGTCGTTGCTCAACGACTTTGACTCTGCACCGATTTGGATTCACGGAACTCCGCTGCCTTTGGCTCCGGGCTCAGAGACCGTGTTCTCAGTGGATATGAACAAGATGCCCGAGCTCTTAGACCAGACGCTGTTCGTGGCCGTCAAAGCGTACGGTCGCGTCGAGTCTGATTCCATTCCCGGACCCGTGTCCAACTGGGTCAGGGTGTCGGTGCCATCACCACCGCCTCCGCCGTCATTGATCACCACTCACTCGTCAGTGTCGTCGGCCGACCCGTCTTGGACATCTGCCAACCAGAACGTCATACCCGGGATCACCGGGGACTTTGAGATGCACTACGACGTATTGGTACCGGCCGCCGGTGGACTGATGCTACTGGCTCTGCTGTTGCTTATGTACTGTGTGTTTTGCGCCGTGAAACGCAACCGGAAACCGGAAAAACAGTCGCCCAAGCAGGAAAAATCGCTGAATGTGTCCGTCATACCAAATGGCAACGGCGGTGCACTGAACATATCTTCTCCCATGAACGCCATCAAGACAGAACTTGAATCACATTTTGAACCTTGTCTGATCGACACGGGCGACGCCAAGAAACGGTACAGCGTGGCACAATACGGAACGGCCGCTACCAACGACCATCACTACAATCTCCAGCAGCAGCAGCAGCAGCAGCAGCATCAGCAACCGCACCAACAGCCACATCAACAACCGCATCCTTACCATCACCAGAGTAATGGTCACCTGAGCGTGATTGCCGGAGCAACGTTGACCCGTGCACCGAAACCGTTGAGTCCGTACCAATCGTGGACCGCTTCGCAGCTGTTGCACGAACACGAACGCAGGACCAGCCCTTACGGTCAGATCGGCGACTTCGAGAATCAGTATCCGCCACCAGTGCCTCCTCTGCCAGCTTACCAGCAACAACAACTCCAGCAACAGCAACAACAACAACAGCAGCAGCAGCAGCAACAAGCCAACGCGGAAAACATTTACGGAACGGCCCCGGGCCATTTCCAGCAGCAACAAAACGGACTTCCGCCGCCCGGCCAGTACAACAACTATCACCGGAACAACATGATCCTGTTCAACCAAAGCCTGCAGGGGTCGTTGAGTTCGGTCAGCAGCGGTGACAAGAAGAAGCGAAACATAACCATGGTATAATTACCGAAGAAAGTGAAGAAGACGACGACGACGGAGCGTTGAAGTTATTAAGACTGACTACTTATTTTGTGTGACTTTGGTCTTCTCCGACGCTAATCGTGTGTACGTGCACTATTTGGTCTGTTTACTGGATGTTTATTTTTTTTTGCGGTTTCTAGTCAAATTCACTAATGTAGTAGACTAAAAACCACCACACGTACAACCAAGTTATATTTTGTTTTTTGTTATGATCTCACTTGTTTCTTGTAAAATACTTTTGTAATTAAATTAAAATAATTTCCCCTCTTGTATAATGATGGTAATTGATAATAATGGTTATTATTATTATTTTACTACTACTACTACTATTATTACGTTCGTTAAGGACCTTTGCATAAGCTTTATTATTATGAAACTGCCTCAAATCCCTAAATAGATATACTGACAATTATTATTATTATTATTATTATTATATTAATAAGTCGAGTGTTATGCACCGTTTTGTGCCTTTTTTTTTTTTTTAAATATTATATTATTATTAATGTAAATCGTATTGTATGCATGACCAAAAAATATCATGTTGTTAAAATATCGTGTCTAGCTCTATTGACTAGCTATCAATTTAGCTTTAGACAACAGTAATATTTTTTTTATGTCCAAAATATTTATATAATGATATATTTTTGTACCTAAACTTAAGTTTGTTGTAGACTACTTAGCGAGTAAGCCATTGTGTACATTCATATTGATGATTTTGTAAAAATTATACATACATACCATATTATATTAAAACAATAATAATTGGGTAATTTTTTTTTTCATTTCAACATAAAATAACTTAACAAAAATAAGTGCGATACAATAAGTGGTGACAGATACAAAATATTATATTATATTATAGTTATGAAGTCCCATTCATTGTACTCTGGAAAAGTAGTATAGTTAATAATTATATTGGCTCATTGCTAGTAAATGGTATAACATGACATGTCACCCTGAATTCTGAAAAATTCCTTCTAACGCTTTGAAAAACTCCATGAAACATCCTGTAAATGTATTATCAGGAAAGAATAAAACACAACCAGAAATATATAAACTATATGTGTTAAATTGTATACATTTAAACGTGTATTTAATATTATATTATAAAAATTTTGAAACAAAGTTCAACGTAATTAATTCTAATCGTCAAAAATATAAGACTTTAATGTCGTTTATTAATAATCACTTAAATGTATGTACAACCGTTAATAGGTCTCACATACCAATAATTTTTTGAAATATATCTTCTTCCTCGTCATCGTCGTAGTCCTTTTCAGAGGGACTTCGTTTTGTCTTGATAAAATGTTCTTGTTTTGTTTGTGGATTATCTACTCCATTCTACAACATAAATAATTTTCTTAATCACTTGGATATTATTTCTGTACAAAATATATCAATATTTCAATGCAAGTATAATGACAAAAACCATTCGATTTTCAAATAGATTACTTTAAACAAAAAATAATAACCGCATTTACTAGGTACCCTATGGATGGTGTAGGATTTCTAAAATAGAGTAATTACAGTCCCACATGGAACGGAAATCAGAGCTATATTGTTGGGATTTAAACATATTAGATTTTAAGTTTATAGAAATAATAAATTCTAAGATTATTAATACAGATAACCAGTTACTTACATACAAACATATTATTTATAGGTATAAGTATATTATAAATTACCACTTGTGACTTCAAAGATCGCTTCCATCTATTTCCTGTCCCTTGCGACCATCCATCAACATTTTGATGGTTTTTCGGTTCAAGCGTGTCATTACCTTCAATAAAAATTTATATTAGAAAAATTTGATATTACATTTTAGATTCTGAGCCTTAACGATGAATGTATTGAGATAACAATGATCGGTATTGGATTTTTTTATTTTTGTAACTGAAGACACCCTTTTTAGTTTAACAAATGCTTTGACTATCGCCATTTATGGAGGTTTCTGGTAAAAAATTGGATCTAGTCGGTACTTTTGGGAGGTCCCAATTGAAAATTCCCATTGCTTTTTAAAATAATTGAAAAAATACCATCGTTAGTAAAAATTTTAATATTATAATTAAAATAATTGTTTGGTAACCCCTTTTACCAAAAAGTTAGACCATATTATTTGCTCGTAAACGTTTTTTACTATATTATTTTCAATAACCCCCTTAGAAACTCTCTTTAATGGGCCTTGTGAACAGGTTATTATATCGATTTGTTCTATTGTAATAATATTGTCTCTTTTAATGTATATCTCGACAATGTTATAGTGTTATACATATTTTATGACTCATTATTTGTGTGTTATGTTATCTTTAATTTAGTACCCATAAGTCCAGTGTTCGGATTAGATGAGTATTTTTTTTTATCTAGATAAAGATAATGCAACTCAAATGTATCTAGATAGCTATAAAAAATAACTTAACTCATATTTATCTAGATAAAAAAAAGATACAATTATTATTTCTTAAATGGTTTTAAATTTTGGTATATTTTAGTTGGGCACTAGGAACATAATAATAATAATGATATAAACAAAAATAATTACATTATTTATAAACCATAAAGTTTGTTTGAGTATCTGTATAAATATTTAAAAATTTTGTACAATTTCGCGATTTTTATCAATAAAAAATGTATCTAGATGAATTTATTTAGATTAGTAAAAAAATTATCTAAGATGAACGTTTAGATACCTTGTAACTATTTATCTAGATAAGATAAAAGATGAACAAATAATTATCTAGATAAGTCCGAACACTGCCCATTACCTTGAGTTTTATTTTGTATTACTATAAGACGTACGACTGATACTTTGTAATTGGCCAAAACGATCATTATTATGTATTCCATTGGGCATAATAATTTAATAATAATTTATTCCAATTCAATGCGAGGCACACACACTCAACACCAGCTACCGAACAGCAGAGCTGTTGCCTGTGCATTCTCTCTTTTTTTGGTTAAATGTGTGATGGTTGTTCACAATAGTTTTGCTCCTATAACTCAAATAAAATAATGGTTTGTTCGCTTGACCGAAATTGTGTGTGAAGATGTGACGCACTTTACCTTTAACACGTATAAAATAACAATACCCGTTTCGCTAATAAAAGTTCAAATAATTTACGTAAAGATGAAAAAATATACCTAATCAGCAATCACTAAAATTAACTTGATAGCCGTTGATTTTTTACTACTTTTTAGTAAAATTGTTTATTAAACAAGTCAAATGCAAATTTCATATTTCTGAAGAAATGTCCTAAACCTACGACCATTAAGGTAATCTTAGTCAGTAAGTTGAATATATTTTCTAACTGTGTGATACCTACAATCATGCGATACTTCAGAATAGACCTCTTGTCAACTTCTAAAAAAATGTATTAAATCGTGTTGGGATAACTATAATTACTTATAACGAAGTATTATGTGATTGTATGATCATAATATATAATTTTGATTATTCTGTAGTTGTTCAATATTAAACACCTTAAAAAATCGTGACACACTGTTACGAGTTTTAAGGGGCTGAGTGATAACAACTACGTATACATTTGTGTATCTTTAGAAAACTGGTACCGATTAGGGTGTCTAAGCTAGTAAGCTACTATACTGTCTCCATCACTGCATTAAAAAAGGTTTTTACTGATAATAAGTGTGTACCTGTTGATTTAAAAAAAAAACAAATAATCGTTTTTTATTCCACTAGATCAATGATAAAAAAAAACTTTTGAAAAAAACTATACCCAGCGATTTTACAAAAACATAACATATACCTGGGTAACGTTACTTACCGACTCTAAACACCCACGAGCCGTCAATGATCTGATTTTTGAATCCCCAAGTTATATTGCCATTCGGCACCACCGAAGTCATCCACCAGCTGTCGGGAGGCGAAGAAAATGCCGTGTACTTCCATTTGATCGGTCCATCCATTTTAGTTCTAAACCACCTGACCGACGCCAATTCGTTTTCATACTGGTCGGAGTACGAGAATCCACCGCCGGTTATATCTGCACAAAATGAAAGGACATTTTTTATTTACGAATTTCACCACCGTAATAAAGTAAAAGATCTGATTAAAAATTCTGCGTATAGAGCTTAAATTTCCTTAAATTTGAATAAATAAAATTTTAAATCGTTTTTTCCTAGATATATCATTTTTTCGATGTGATGGACCGGCTTGAGAAAGTTAAGCCACTGGCACAGCGTTTTGTGGTCAATATGTCCGCAACAGACAGAAAACTAAAAATGTACATTGCTGATAGAGTTATTTAAGAGGTAATATTTTTAGTTACTTAATAAATCGGCAACGAGTAGGTAATTCAAAATATAATCCAATCAACTTCAAGTCCATTAAACATTTTTAAGAGCAGTCCTCATATAATTTTAATTTCGCCAAGGAAAGTCATTTTTTTTCGGTACCACTGCATAATGTCGTAATAATAATAATTATGTTGACCGACAATGTTGTATTATTTCGTCTCCTTAATGTGATTTTGTTTGTATTGCAGAGTCAACGTCCATTAAGATTGCAACAAATGAGTGTTGTATATATGTTTTTTTCCCCCGGCCACACACACCCATTATTATACGCCATTGAATGTTTATTATTAATTGTTCGATAAGAAATTGATGAATGAACAAAGAAATGTCGCTAACACACATCAAAGACAATTAATATAATGATAATTCACTAATGATAATTATTTCCCTAACGAGTGACGGCAGGAGTAAAAGCTATAATATCATATATCGTCGGCCTAATTCGCAAAAGTCGTATCTCCATTTTTTGTCATTTTGGGATTATTTACTCATAAAATAAAGAAAAAAAAACTGCGTCTGTTGATACAATCAAATTTCCGATTTCATAATATTATCCTCCATGAAATTGATAATTAGAAATCGTTGTATCTCCAATTAACAATATGGCCGTAAAACGTTTTTTTCTTCTCCTGAACAATTTGTAATTTTGGACATACGACCTTTGCGAATTAGGCCGACGATATTATTCCATTTAATAACGAACCGACATAATATTTCTACAATGATCATATTATTATTACATTATTTCTACGATATAAACACGCAATCGACATCGTTCCCTATTGGCCATGATATAGTCGTAAACACTGCAAATGTGACAGCGGGTTAATGGTTATTATAAAAAAATAATAATAATAATTTCACACTTTTTTGGATTTTAACGTCATAATTCGCTTAGCAGATGAAATAATATCGCAGTACATTCGAAAACCCCTTGAAAATGATTATATTTAAACGAAACTATTAATGTCAAATTTTATCGCACATTTTAATAAGCCAAAGAACGATAATTTTTTTTTTTTATTATTTTCCTCAAAGTGTCATTATTTTTTTGTGGCCTTGCAGTTTTTCTATTATATGAAATATAATACTATGGCCATTTACACAGTCCGCCCAGGTTGATTGTTTGCATGTTTTCGTTTATTAATAATAATATGTATATTACATAACAGTACCCAACTATATAGGTATAAGCCTACTGTAAAAACAAAAACGACTACAATGCAATTTATTAAGTCATTCGCAAATAGTGAAACAGTTCAAAGACCCAAAGAATTTATTTCATACCTACCTACCTGTCGTTCATGTTATACTAAAGTAGTAAAGTCCAAAATGTATTATATTGTATTTGACTTGTATATTTTAAATCAGTGCAAAAATAAAGACATTTTAAAACAAATTACCTTATAGTAAATATTAATAAAAAAAAAAAGTGTATTATTAAGCTTTACAGAATACCAAGTATGCATGTTAGTATAACTGTATAAGGCCTACGGCGTTGACTTTGAGGTATTGAAATATCACAATACATTTAAAATGGGTTTACACTTATAAAATACCATTTAAAGTCGTGCAGGTAAATAGATAGAACGATTTTATCGTAGTTGGGCAAAAAATTTCAAATTATGGAAAGGTTTTGTGATTATAATATTATATGGTTACAAATGTGAAGAAATTCGATGAAGTTATTGGCAGGCCCGTATCGAAAAGAAATAACCATATAATTAATTAACAATATACCAATAGCTAGATGGTCAAATATAATAATATCACCAGTCAAAGCGTCTTATAATAATGTTGCTGATTGTTATTTTAAATACTATTTTTGTTTGTCCAAGCTCCTTCAGTGGGACGATTCTTCATTCCGTGAATCATTCATCTGTAATTTTGTTTTTCTTAGCTCTTGCTAATTGATGAGACGTCGTACCAGTCTCTATTTCTAAGGATATTTTTTATTGTCATCAAATTATTTCAAGTTTTTCTATTATCTATACATATAGTTGTCCGACGACGTGCTAAACTGATATTTGCCGAAAACTTCGCTTAGAGTATTGATTTGAACAATATTATTGTAATAATAATAATATTACAACGTATTAACTTACCTATGCATTATTGTTGTTAATATTTTGTAACTTGTGAGTAGGTAGGTCAATACCACACACCGTATAATGGTGTATTATAGGCTCGTGCGTGGTACAATGGTGACCAAAAAAAAGTTTAAATAAATATCTATTTTGAAAATTGGGTTTTATCTAGAAATTAATATGATATAGGCCATATGGGGAAGTGATGGCAAAAAGTTTCTACGATAAATATTTTTTGAACTTCAAACTCGAACTTTCAAACGCTCATAAAAAAAATATTTGTAGTTTCCGTTTTTTTTCCTATAGTAAAATGAAACTAAGGAAGAGTTTGCAAATGTCTGTTCAAAAAAATCCAAAACATTTAAAAAATTATACGAAGTCTGGGAAAAGCCAATATAAATATTTTGCGAAAAATTCAAGTTTCTGCATGTTTTTATTCTGAATTCCTTAATTTTAATTATTAATAATAACGAAATCGTGGTTGTTGTTGAAAACTGGATTTACCACTAAATACACACGTTTCTCTTAATTTTGGATTTTTTTACATGTTATAAGTACTGGGAATTTTACAACAACCGGATCTAATTTGCTACCAGAAACACCATAAAAGTTGCATTTTTTTTACTGTTCCGAAAAGATGATAGCAGAGGCAAAAATAAAAATAAAACACACATCATCGTAAAATAAATCGCTACGATAACTGTTTAAAAATAACATAATATACTCGTACCTAAATTATATTTATTTATTTCGTTTTAACATAAAAAATTCACAATAGTGCAATGCGCGTCTCAACACAAATTTTAGTCAAAAATGTATATTTTATTTATTATAATGACAACAATTTCTTTTTAGGTTTTACACGCGTTTAGATCATAATACGTTACGTAGTAAATAATATTACGTCGAGTTCATTGCCATTCGATTAAGCCTCGATTATGCTATTTTAGTGTAACTAAACTAATCTATTTTACTGACAATTTAAACATATAAGTTGGCATGTAATATTAAAATATTATTAAGTAGGTATATAGGTAATCCAATTAGTTTTATAATAGATATCCATCTCCGTCAGTTGTCGGTTTGACACAAGCTATGTAAAATAACTAGTTTAATAACAATAAATTGTATGTGATAGGTACACCAACGTTTAAAAAGATAAAACTATAAATGAGATCCTTGCTAAAAAAATAATTTTACAATAAGGTAAATACAAGTACTTAAGTAATAATTGTTTTAATGTCTCAGTGTCTAGACAGGTTCGTTTTTTTTTTTTTATCATTTACGAGTATCTATACTTATCATAAAATACATATTTATTTGACATTTATTTAAATAATATTATTTTATCCAAATTTAATCAAACTGTCTGGTAGAGATATATATTTTATAATTTATAGGGATATTGTTTTTTGTTTTATTTTTTTTTATTATATGTTTGTATGTTAACAAATTAGCAACTTAACACTGAAATAAAAAAAATTATTGTCACTACTAATACTAATATATACTTATGACCTGAATTCCAATAAATCACATCGACAATATATGACCAAGTACTAAATAACCACTCTAGTCATATCACTGTAATTTGTAAAATTACATATTTTTACATTTTACAAAATAACAGATTTATTTTATGCTATTTTTAATCTATTTCGTATCAAACCGGAAGAGATTTTTTTCACTGATACTTCGAGTTGAAGGTTAATAAAAACGTTCAATGGCATATGCATTACATTATATATATGGAGATTTCCAGTGCATAAAAAAAAAAAAACTCGTGAATAGCTTAATTTATACACGAATTATAATACTCGGTAAATTTTAACCCCAAACTTTATAAAAAAAAAAAAACCCGTACCCAGAACGGTAGTCGTTGAAATAATAATTGTATACATAATATAATATGTATATCGTATAATATATATTATAATATAAAATGTTTGCTTGGAGAGAAAACCGCGAGCGATTGCGAGTTATTATATAGTTGTACAAAATTACTAAAACGCGACCAGGTACCTGGTATTACTGCATATTAAATAATATTATGAAACTAACCTTGAAATTTGGTTCCTACCGCTCGTTGGATTTGCTCGTATTTAAGTTAAATGTCATGATATAAGAGCACAAATCTCACTCACCTTCTTTGTTGAGCGTCACTCTCAGCCTGGTGTCCCAGAAGCCGCCGGCCGAGTCCCTCCAGGTCCATCTGACCATCATGTAAGAGTCGGTGACGGTGTTGTTGAAGAACGACACGCTACTGCTGCCAGGATCAGCTCTGTTGAGCACCCAAGGAGCCGTCTAGAACATTGTCATTTTTTTTTTCTTTACACTCTGCAGCGACGTCTCGGATTTATTTTTACGGTCGTAAAAAGTCAAATCCATGTACCCCACATAATATTATATATTCAATACGTTATACGTACTTGGCTGCCCGCAGAAAAGACTTCGAACAAAACGAGCAACACCAGTGGAAAATATGTGTCCGTCATCGTGGCTAAATCGACTCTAAAATAACATTATTATTACTATTACTGTTTGTAGTAACTGCTGCAGAGTGCAGCGGTGTCTAACCACTTCGATGATGGTAGCGTTGGAGGGGAAATCGAACCTTGGAATCGCAATAATAATTTGTGACGTGTGTTTTGTTTGTTTTATTATTATAGTTATTATTTTTTTTTTTTTTTTCCGAAGAATCAGATATAAACCTGGCTCATTTGTGCAGGATTCAGATCCATATCGATTCGACAATATTATTGTAACACCTACAACTTACTATGAGCCACGAAGAACGGCTACGTACTGATTATTGTATTTTTACAATGCGAAAACGCTGAACGGTTCAGCAAACAGCGGCATGGACGGCAGTAGGCCATTATGTAAGAATATAATATGTTTTTACGATTAAATTAGTTTACTATATATATAGTTTTGGGCTATTAATTATAATTGGGAAATCCGACTCGTGAAATTCATCAGCAAACTTGATGGTCAATAATTAAGCTATTCTGCTGGTTCGTCAATTTTCGTCCATATTATATTACAAAATAACTTACACTCGTCACCACGAAAATTGTCAATAATGCAATTTTTTATATACAATAGTGTATTAGTAATATGTGAAATTCTAGAGTTTGGGACAAAAATTTGACTATATTTTTCTTTGCCGACAAGCTCCACATGACTGTTTGGTATATAAAACTTTAAAAGTGTAATATATGCAATTATTGTGTGAAAAAAAAACCGGGAAAAAAAAGAATTTTTGAAGTGTGTATAAAAACGTGATAGTGTCCTCGAAAAAAATGACATAATTAGTAAACCAGAAAATTCTCCTAGATTCACCAAGCTGCCCACTGGCCATTTTTTCGCCTTTATAACAATGAGTTTATTCAAACTCTGATTCATGGAATTTGTAAATATACCTACTCAAATTGGTACCATATTTTTTAAATGATTGAGCTTTTTGTACTACTTGACGAGTGTCCCGTCGCGTTAAAAATTTCTATTTTTCAAACGAAACCCCACCCCCCTGCTTTTCCACTGTATACTATTAAAAGGATCATTTTTCTGACAAAGTTGATGTAACTGAAATAAAATTCGGGCGATTAGTTTCTCAGTCGTATAAATGCATATAACGATGGTGTACTTAAAAATGGTTTTACCAATATTAATAAATCAATTAATTAGAGCATAGTAATCTATTAATTATAAATCATAAATTATTATCTATTAATCTATTAATTCTAGTATTTACTATATTTGGGCCATTTTAACAAATTATAAACATTCATGGATTAATACCGATATTAGGTGCTAAAATTTAAATATAACCACGTTTGCATGTTTATAGCCCTCCCATCAGCAATGGTCTTTTTTCCTTAGTACACAAAATTAAGTAACTCAAATAATACTAGTTCAAATGTGGATTTTGATACGTCAATAGTTTTAGAAAAATAATTACAGTAAAAAAGGGAGTAGGCTACCTTACCATTTGAAAAATATAAGTCTGTATTTACATAGGACACTCCTTAGTAGTTGTACAAAAATTCTCAAGAATATAAAAATATGGTGCTTAGGTATATTTAAAAATTCCCAAAATCAGGTTTTGAATAACTTTATATTATTCAAGAAAAATAGAGGTGAGAATTTTCTGTGAATCACCCTGTATAAATATTATTTTAATTTTTAGATGTTAATGTTATGATATCTATGATAAAACTCTTAGCTTATTTTTTTAATATCACAATAATCAAATATCTAAAAATTTTTCATATTTTTTATATGATTAAGATTTTTGTACTACTTGACGAGTGTCCCGTTGCGTTAAAAATTTCCATTTTTCAAACGAAACCTCACCCCCCTGCTTTTCTACTGTATACTATTATAAGGATCATTTTTCTGACAATGTTGATGTAACTGATATAAAATTCGAGCGATTAATTTCTCAGTCGTATAAATGCATATAACGATGGTATACTTAAAAATGGTTTTACCAATATTAACATATCAATTAATTAGACCATAGATTAATTCTAGTATTTACTATATATTTGGACCATTTTAACAAATTATAAACGTTGATGGATTAATATCGATATAAGGTGCTAAAATTTAAATATAACCACGTTTGCGTGTTTATAGCCCTCCCGTCAGCAATGGCCTTTTTTCCTTAGTACACAAAATTAAATAACTCAAATAATACTAGTTCAAATGGGGATTTTGATACGTCAACAGTTTTAGAAAAATTATTCGCTAAATAATTCACAGTAAAAAAGTGGGTTGTCATTTGAAAAATATAAGTTTGTATTTACATAGGACACTCCTTAACACGTTGACGACTAAACAATTATTTTTTAAGATAATATTATCTTAAAAAAATCTTCAAAAACACGGTCTTCGTCCTAAATGTGTTAAATGGTTGTACAAAAGTTCTCAAGAATATAAAAATATGGTGCTTAGGTATATTTAAAAATTCCCGAAATCAGGCTTTGATAATAACTGTATATTATTTAAGAAAAATAGAGGTGAGAATGTTCGGTGAATCACCCTGTATAAATATTATTTTAATTTTTAGATGTTAATATTATGATATCTATGATAAAACTCTTAGTTTATTTTTTTAATATCACAATAATCAAATATCTAAAAATGTTTCGATTACAAAAATTTTGCTTAGGTCAAGATTACGACAATATATCAATCTAAAATGTATCAAAACAAGTCTCGAAACTTGATACAATCACGGCTTTAACATAATGCTTAATCATATTTAATAATGGATACGTATCCTATTTTTTCGACTTCAGTAATATTATTATCTGTAGAATAAAAGTAAATAATTGTGAACGTGTTTGTAGGTAGGTAATTAAAATAAAATAGCAACAATATTCCAAAATGATAAATAGGATTTCAATGGACTGTGATTAAATTTCAAATAATAAATAATTTTTCTGGTAATTTCGTCAACGATATAATGGAATAGGAACACCTCACGCTGTGACTCAGTGGTGGTGCGTATAAAATGTAAGCACATGAGTATACATCGAATAAGCCTTAGTTCATAATATTACCATTATCCTACCCTATTCAGCGGTGCCCATAGGTTTGGAAATTGGAATAGGGTTGAGGGTTGTTCGAGCTGAAAAGTATTTTTGCAATAAAGTATAATTATTAGTGATGATTACATATCTACGGTTTAGGAGGTCACGACAGTCATTATAATATGGTGAGTTGTGTCTAACTATTATTACATTAAAAAATAACAACGATAATAGCAGGGTAGGTGAGATTAAAGTGAAAAAGTACTTCGAGGGTGGTCTCGAGGACGCGTCAAGTAAAGTGCACGTATCATAATATGCCACCTATACATAATTCACAGCTGTGCAGTAGCTAGGGGAATCGGGAATTAAGGTCTTAAGCACCCCCCCCCCCCCCCCCGAAATATCAAATTAGAATTTGTTTTTTGGCCTGTCGCGGGCACAAATTGGCTATAAAAGGCATAAGAAATAAAACTGATAAACGTCACAAGTTTAAGTAGTTGACAACAAGGATTAAAAGAAGTATTATTATATAGCTTCACTAGTGGCGTAACTATGATCATACGTATTATGGGTGTTTTTGATATTAGTCATCATTATTCTTAAATACGAACCAATTTTATTTTATTTTAATAAGTTATTATATAACTAATAACCCAATGGTACACTATCAATAAAATATTGTAGCCCACCAGTAAAAATCATGACTATACGGCACTGATTCACAGGTTCCTTAGGTGCATAGATAGCGATGATAGTATTATTCATACGCTTCTATATTATTAATTTGAAAGATTTGAAATAGTCTAAGATCATAGTTCAAAATAATTTATATACAATCGAACATGTCCTGACTGAGACTGATCAACGTAGAGCCTGAACTACGATAGTTAGAGACTTGAAATGTTCACGACACCTTCGAATCACCATGTAGTGGTGCAATAAGTAAGGATTTTCTAAAATTATTTATTTAAAGAGGTGCTCACACATTGGCAAAAGGATTTTGATATTCACGATAAAAATCAAGCCTTTTTTTTTTTTTAACAGTGAACAGTTACCATTATTGGTTACATAATACTGTAATAGACCATAATATTAATCATAAAAATTAGTAGAAATTCTTTTTTCTCCGACCGAATTTAGAACACATGTCTAAAATTATATCTAATTATAATGATTATTTTATTTTCTGTATCCAATGGTAACCTATTATACAAACAAAAAAAAATTCGCTTATCGTGAGCCAACAAACATTTATTTTGTTAACATAATATAAATGATAAAATATGCAAGCATAGATAGGTCCATGCGTGAATAAAAATATGTTCTACCAGCTGACGATCACCACAGCACAATAGCACATACCTATAATATTATGTCATATTGTTCTGAAGATTATGTCAATTAAACGGTATTTATTAAGACCATTTAAGTCGGTGGTCATTTTTTATTGTATGTGAAACATCTAATGAGACTGTGTGAAACCGTTTTTGGCGTGGCGTATGCTCGGAAAGCACTAACATATCTATAGTGCTCCTTTAAAATAAAGAATTATTTTTCTCAAAAAAATCTGAATATTATGTTCTAGATTATTCCACTTTTATTTCCTTTAATAAGCCATTCTTTCAATTTGCATGCATAATTTCTATACGAAATAATTTTGATGTTCCACATCTGCCAGGCGTCCCACGACGGCTCTCTTTTTTTTTTTATTAAAAACTAGGAGTGAGGCCAAAAAGGGTGTAAAATTCAGTCGGTCATTACTAATTATGAATATCGTTGATGATAAAATCTAATTGGAAACTGCGACATAGTATCAACAATAATATTATTTTATATTTTATTGTAATTAAAATTACAACGTTGACGTTAAAAATTAAGTGTATTGCTGATTATTTCATTTTCAATTACCTAAAATCTCATTTGATAATGAAACTTTTTAATCACTTCTCACG